ACTAACTGTTAATTCTATTATCTGAATGTTAGTTGACTGTTAACTAACAAAAATATTTTTTCAACTAACAAAGTTAATAAAATTAATTTTATAATATTTTGTTAATTCTGTTAACTGACTATTAGTTGACTGTTAGTTGATAAAAACTTATTTTCAACTAACAGCATTAACAGTTAATATAAAATAAAAGATATTTTTTTCGATTTTAATAGGTAAGGGGTTAAAAGTGTCATAATATAAAGTGAGGAGTTAAAATCTTTAAACTTAGTAAGATGAAGGGCTAAACCAGGTTTTTGCCTTGATTTTTCTGAGTGCAAGGAATGGGCAGTGCCAATTGGCTAGGGCACAAGAAACTCCACCCGGAGCGACATTCTCCACTCACATCAGTGCTCCAGCCGGCCCAATGCGAATGACGATAAACTAAGGGGTGGGCCTAGGGTGGTCACCCCTATTTCTCCAGGTTTGTCCTAATCCGAGCATCCTACTACTCTTACCCTGTACAACACCTTCCTATCCAAGGACTTCCACCCGGAAAATACCAAAAGTGTGGGGAGAGAAAAACAAAGACCAAAAAAAGCTGACACCGCAATGATGATATAATTAATTAATTAATTTTTTTGTTTTAACAATATATTTAATTGGAGGGAAATTAGGGAAAGGAACAAAAATTTATTTATTGGATTATAAAAAAAAAAAGGTTAGAGGGGAGGAGAGGAAAAACAATTCTTTTATTTTATTTTATTTTTCTAATTTATTTACTTATTTAGATAAAAAGAAAAAAGGGGAGAAGGGGCAATTCCCTCTTTTTTATTATATTTTCTTCAATCCAAATATATGATAATTATAAGAATTAAAATCCTGCTAGAAAGGTAAGGGCTTGGTAGCAACATATGCTAGTTGCACATATTTAACTTTGACAAGTACACTTAAGAAGACAATGAAAAAAAAGATATTGAAATAAAAATTTTTTTAACTTGTGTTATAAAATTATTTTTTATTAGAAATTTATATAAAAAATATATAAATTAATGTTAATATTAGTATTATTATCACATAAATAAA